GGTTTAGGTTAGTGCTAGGTTAGGTTGTTTCCCCCCCCCACCGGGGGCCCCCACCCCCAAACATAATGACGTCCATGTTCCGAGAAAAGGTCATCCATGGCCCAACCTTAGTGACATCCACATTGGGTTTTCGCATATGCTCATGTGTATGTTGGCCATTGATTTTTTAATGAGGAACGCACCGTGCGCAGGGCACGCGACATTTTGAGCTTAAGCCGTGAACACTTCAAACATGCGTGTGCCCTTGCGGAATGACTGAAGTTTCACGGTTGTTGGACTGACATCACGCCGCCTGGATTGACTTCACTCCCATGCCGTGTGCCGCAGGGCTTGGGGCGACTTCACACCGGTTTGGGCGACAAACGTAGTGTTAGCCCGAGCTCATTCTTTACATTGCAGCCGTCCCAGCAGGTATCATTCCGTTCGGAAGCAGCTGGAGCTGGCCGGCCTCCATGATGAGACGGGCTTAGAGCTCCTCGGAAGCTGTCAGGCCTGACACTTCGATTTCCAAGAACTTTTCCATTTGTTGTTCATGTTGCTGCCGTTGCTATTTCCATTCCTCTACGCTTTTGCTGACACGATCAGGAATTTGGTATGAGTATCATCAGCGGCAGCAGCCAGCCGCTTTTGTTACTAGTGTCATCATCAGTACTAGCAGTCGTCGTCGTCGCTTGGCAGCACTGGTATTGTTATTGTTGGAATTATTAGTAGTAGCAGCAGCAGCAGTAGCGCTAGCAGACGCAGGCGCAGCCGCAGTCGCAGTCGCAGCAGCAGTAGTACTACTTGTACTTGTACTTGTACCTGTACTTGTAGTAGTAGTTGTTGTTGTTGTTGTTTTAGCCGTCTTTGTCGTCGCGGTAATGTAATAGTGGTGGTCGTGCTGGTGCTGGTGCTGGCGCTGGTGCTGGTGGTGCTGGGGGTGGTGGTTTAATTCACGGCATTGTATACTGGTCCACTGCAGTACTCAGGTTCCTTTCCTGGTTGGGCCTGTTGCAAGACATGCCCTTGCCGCAAGCTGCGGCGGACTGCCCCCTGGATGTGGTTGCTCAACTGCTGCAGTGCCTTGGATTTGGCGTTTGCATGCGGGACTTACAGGGCCGGAAGCTCGTGCTTAGAGACTTCATCCCCATTAAGCCGGACTTCATGTGAAGGGAAGGGGCGAATTGAATCGCTTCATAGGCTTAGTTGGAATCTTCCAGCCCGAAACGTTCCTAATTCTGAACCCATTTCCCACTCTTTGGTTGCATTGATCCTTCGGAGGAAGTCACGAAAGCCAATTTTGTGTCCGGACCACTCGTACCTAACATGAGTAGACTACATATGGTGGTCGGTTTGCCTCTCGGCCCGAGGCGGCCAGAAACGGCATACCAGTCCGGCGAGCGGGACATGGCTGCTTGACTTGCAGGGAGGATACTACTAGTACTAGTACTACTACTACTACTACTACTACTGCTACTGCTACTGCTACTGCTACTGCTACTGCTACTGCTACTGCTACTGCTACTGCTACTGCTACTACACCTCCTGCTGCTGCTGCTGCTGCTGCTGCTGCTGCTGCTGCTGCTGCTGCTACGACTACTTCTTCTACTACTACTACTGCTGCTGCTGCCGCTGCTGCTATTGCTACTGATACTGCTACTGCGACTGCTGCTGCTACTGCTTGCACCACCGCCACTACCACCACTTGCTGCGACTCTACACTATGAGTTTCTCGAGGCGCAGCTAGATGTTCTCGATGGGGTTGTCGTTGTCCACCTCAAGGTCCGCTCTCCATCGTTTTTAGCGTATGGCTCAGAATGAAATGATACATGATTCCTCTGGGCTCTTTTTTGGAATTATTCGATGTGCGTCTCTTTGCCGCTTGTGCCTTCACTTGATGGCCAAGCATGAGCAAAAGGAGGCCAAATGACCTGGCAGGTCCGGATCATGGTCCTTCGATACATGCCTGTGGCGTGAGCATTGCGAAGCCTAGCCTTCTGTGGGACACGACTTTGCCGGCGGGGAGGGCAAAGCGCAAAGGTTTACGTCGCCGTACTTCATGGGTCTCGTTCATGACACCCCTAGACCACTGTTACCTGATTGAACGGCTTACTATTGCACACCTGGCCCAGCAACCCACCATGCAGGGATCCAAGCTCTTACCCTAAACCCCGAAACTTGAGACCCTGAGCCCTCAACCCGAAACCCTAAGCCGGTAAGACCAAGGCCATCATGCGCCACGAGTTGGACGTTCGTCGTTCCGATGGTGCCCAGGCCGTTGGGTGGGAGGGTCCTTCGAGCTATCTGGACAGATTTAGACTCACAGCTACAGGGCTTTATAGGGCTTAAGATGCAATTTAGCGTTCAGGGTCCAGGGTTTCATGTATACTGTAGGGTTCAAATCTACACCTGAGGGTTCATGTGGACATGCATGGATCAAGACGAAACCCACTTGAGCTTCTTTGTTAAATGAGAGGTCCGGGCGCGGCATCGATAAGCTATATGATCGTAGCATTATCGGGCTTAGGGTTTGGGTGTTCTGGTGCGACTTCCCAGACTCTTCATCATACTTCCGTACTTCACAAAGCCTGAACCCGTAAATTTCAACAATCCCTGCAAGCCTGAACCCTCAAACCTAAACCTTACGCCCCATCCTTCGTTTCGGAGGAGCGGCTGGTGTCCACGTTGATACAGCCCCGCGGACCTCAGAACCGGCGGGGTGTTTAGGGTTTAGGGTCCAAGGTTTAGGGTTTAGGGTTATAAGGTTCAAGGTTCAAAATTTAGGGTTCAGGGTTCAGGCTTTAGGGCTTAGCGTTTTCGTGGGGATGCATCTGTGTTCTTCATCTTGGGGTTTTTTTCTGGGCACAGAAGGGCCTTCGGCTTGCAGAGCCCCCTACTGTGACTTTAGGGTTTAGGGTTTATGAGTTTAGGGTTTAGGGGTTGAGGGGTTTAGGGTTTAGGATTTAGGTCTAAGGTACGGGGAGCCGAATGGCCACACCGCAATGGCAAAGACTGCGACTTGGTCGCAGAGTGGATAGAAGATGCCCTCCCTTTTCCTTCAATGCTTCAATGACTCAAGCCCAAACAAGACCTGAAGAGTTTATGACTCGAGGTATATGTTTAATCGTTGGTGCAAGATGCTTGAGTCGATGAGCCTCTATTTGCCGGAATTTGGGAACCAGGGAAACCAGACCTTCCTCGCACGTGACATTGGATCCCTCGAACACTTCAACACGCTACAGAAAGGAGAGTGTAATATAGCAGGGGCCTTAACAATTAGAATAGGCTTTCGGGGTATATTTACAATAAATATTATAAGGAACCCCCAAAACCCTACTCTAGTTATGAAGGCCCCTACAGTAAGCCTCACTCAGACCTAAAAGCCCTAGAAGCCCGAAACGCCTGTAAATTCAACGCCCGCCTGATCTCACGAGCGGACGAGGCATCATTGGTTGCACCTCCAGTCATATTCATATCAATAGAATATCAACATTCATATTGATAGATCTAGAAATGGCTACCCTAAGCCCTAAACGCTCTTCAACCCTAAACCCTCTGAACACCCTAAACCCTAAACCCTCTAAGCCCTAAACTCTAAACCTCGATATTGGCTATATTCATTTATATAGAGATGTATGCATGCATGTATGTATGGATGCATGCATGTATGTAGCTGTTTACAACATGGACCCTAACACCCAAACCCTACACCTATACTACTGTATGTTTCCACTACAACATGCCCCGACGCTGTATTCAAGTCTTCAGGCCCCTATATGGTGCACGGAACACCGAAGTTGAAATTATGAATCAGGTTGGCCTCACTACTGCGATCAGTGCAGAGCTCGTCCTGGATCGGCCGAAGGAGCCGCCTCGTCAGTTTGTGGAATTTCATCCGCACTCGGCCGTGTGCGTACTTGGAGAGTCGGGGGATCGGCATGCCAGCCTGGCACCACGAAATCGGGAAAGACGGTAGAGAAGACCACTGGGAGAGCACATCAGCGCCGCATCTCGCGACCACTCCAACACCGCCGGTGTCGAGACCAGTGCAGCATCTCAACACCACCCAAAAGGTCCACGTAGCGGAGGGTAGAACGAGATTGAAGCTCGAGTCCGAGAGGCCAAATCGTTGGTGCATTGGGGCTTTAGGCACTTCGAGCGCTTTGAAGGAACCACCACCGCAAATCGCCAACCCCACACGCATGGATGAGGACAGGGTGTATGTTTTTCGCATGCGCAGCCAGGCTGTTTGGTTGCTATGCCGCTTTCCGCCAACGGCTCTCGCTGTGGCGCGGTGCACCTCCTGAACCAAAATCGCGCGACTTCGCGGTGCGAGCGCGCGCGCTCTCGCTCCTGGCACAGACGGGTCCCATGTGATCTCTCAGACCCCTTTGGCATGAAAACGATCAGGGGTCGGAGCGTGGCACGCATGTCCTTGCGTCGGGCCTGCGACACAAAAGTCTGTCTTTCTTCGTCTTTTTTCGGATCGGATGCACCAACGCTGGTCTATGGCGCGACAAGATTGGCAACTGCGTGGAATGGCCAGGCACAGCGCAAGGATAGTGGGAAATGGGCATGCGCAAGGAAACTTGGGAACTCCGTCGGGTGCTTGGTGCACCGACTTGCTTCCGTAATGGTAGCTGTAGAAGTGTGTTTCCATTGCGGAGACTGTGAGGGAGACTTTAGGGTACACTTGCAGGTTGCACCCCCGGAGCCATAAAGATTATTATGCATGTTGTAGTATATCTTATAGCATTCAGGCACTGCCGACCCTGCAGGATTTTGGTGTCGGCGTACAGCGCCCCTTGCGAGCGGAGTGGTCCCTCAGTTGTGAGCGTATGGGGGTTTCCGAAAATAGGGGACCCTAATATAGTACCCTTAATAGTAGGATCCTTATTATAAGGACCCCGAAAATAAGGTAACCCCCCATATTTTCGGAAAGTCCCTTATGGCTCCTGTTGTTTTGGGGAGTTCTTACGCCATGGCTGGGGGGTCGCACAGGACAGGTCACATTAACAGTAGGGTTTAGGGTTTAGGGGTTTATGGTTTTAGGGGTTTAGGGTTTTAGGGTTTAGGGTTTGGAGCAGTTCGTGATGGAAGAAGGTCCATGCCCATGCTTTCATCATCGAGGTGTTCTGATGTGTGCAATTTAAGGTTCCCTTTTCGAACTTGGCAATTCATGGCCGAATGGTTCCAGAATTCACGAACCTGTTTTTATATTCCCCTGAAATGCATAACATTGATATGCGTTTGTTGATATGCCACTCCCGTTGCTTGCTGTATGTTCACTGCTTGTCAAAATCTGATACCACCGCGACCACGGGTGTGGGTTATTAGTGCGCCTACGACGATTGGCGTGACCAGCTGTTTTGCCCTGCTCCTGCTGCTGCGACTGCTGCAGCTGCCGTTGCTGCTGCTGCTGCTGCTGGTGCTGCTGCTACTACGACGACGACTACTGGTACTAGGCACTACCCTTATCATATTAGAAAGAAGTACAATCATGCTAGTTCGTAGTCCTCAGCAAGGCTGGGAGTATTGACCTCGAGCATGTAAACTCGACCCGCTCGGGAATCCTGACGGGAGCAAAAAAAATTCCTAAACCCTATAAAACCCTAAACCCCCCAAACCGTCAACCCTAAACCCTAAACCCCCATCCCGAAGTTGGCGGGTCGGCTCCTTGCGGAATGTATGATCCTTGCAGCTACCGTGGCTCTGTTTTAGGGCCTTTTAAGGCTTAAGGTGCAGCTCGGATGGGTTTTGGGGGCTTTGGACTGGGGGTGGATGTTTAGGGCTATGTGGAGGGCTCGGAGGGTTCGGGTTGATGTTTGGGGTTTCAGGGCCCTGTAGACCCTAAACCCCCTACCCGCCCTAAACCCTAAACTGTGGGTTTAGGGCTGTTGCTGAAAGCCCTACCAGGTACCAGCCGATCCTTTCCGAGCTAGAGGCTTGGATTTCTGCAGCGGGTTTCTGTCGGGGGTTTTCAGGCGGTTGCGGTTTTGGGGTATACTTGTCTGTTTTTTTTTTACGGTTTGGGGTCGCCAGCGTCCAGAGCACTGCCTTCTCCCTAACTCCGCAACCCCAAACCTGGTTTTTGTGGGCGTCGCAGGAACGGAAACGGCTGCTTCGACAAGCACCGAAGCTTTGTAGCACAAGCGACGTTGCAGGCTGAGGGCATCTTCTTGCGCGAGCACGTGGAGCCCCTCCTTGACTTACCTTTGACTTCCTCTTGTGCCTCAGCTGCTCCAAAATCCAAAATTTTTGACCAAACCTGAAGCCTGAACGGCCCTAACCCGAAACCCTCCAGGTAGCCGGAAGTATAGTACTCGGAGATGAAAGACCTGGCCTTATAGTCGATAGGATTTCAATATATTATATACTCACAGATATACATAGGGGTTCTAATGATCTCATAGTTTCTATAACTTGGGATGTAGTCAAGGGTTTCCGCAAGGATGGTTGGCAATGGTTGGGATCTTGGAAGCTGCCTTGAACCTACCTGCTCACTCACCCACTCACTCCCTAACTCTCTCTGTCGCTTTTGCTCGCTCTCTCTGTCGCTCTGCGAATTGGGCATGGAGTCTATACGCCTAAGAGCCTTCCACTGATCGTTCTCATGAGGAGCGTATCTGCTTTGTGCAATCCGACTCACCGAGGAACACATCTTCCAATTCGGCCTGCTTCCACTTTGAAAAGCAAGGGCCCTTGCGCCGTGAACTCTCGAGAGGGTCGCTTTTCTACGAGATTGGCCACAGGGGAACGGGACATGTAATGAAGAAGAGGTTGTAAGTTCGCCGTTGCAAGTAGACAGTTGAATCTGCATCTATAAGCATCCATGACATCCCATGTCATGTTGCTTTCACCAGACATGCTGTTCTGCCATCGACCTCAAGGATCCCAGTCGTTACTGCAGTAGCTGCTGTAGGCAGGGCCAATGAACCGAACCGCGTGGAGGGTTCTCGTGGCGCTCTTGGCCTTCCCGGCTGCAGGGCACGCCAGCCAAAGCACGTGCCAGTGCGACGGCATCGCCGACTGGGACGACCCCAGCTTCGGCAGGTGCGACTGGTGGGGCGATGTCCACATCACCAAGAGTTGGAATTCCCCCGAGGTGTTTGACTTCCAGTCCCTAGGCGTCTACTCTTATGCCTCGACCACCAAGTGCGGAGGAGACTTCGAAATGCAGATCTTCCAGTGCCCTTACAGCAAGAACGGCAATGCGGTGGC